CTCGCCCTGTCAATAGTGCTAAGTTTGCCATAATTGACAGGATGGTCCTGTACAATAGAATTAGGACAACAAAAAATAGATTAATGACAAATTGCCATACTTATAAGATAATTACTGGCTAATAAAAAGTTGCACTGTTTTGTGCCATGCTACTATAACATTGATACTAAGCTAGTAGAAGTTGTTTGGACATGACATTCAGACAAAAGCAATGTGGTGGCCATCAAAAATTATATAGACTGGTGATATGGTGTGTGGATCGGTGGAAGTTAGTCTAAAGGGTTGCGTAAGTTGGAAGTCTGGAAAACATTAGAATTTATGGAAAACACGATCTGCAACCTGGAAGTGGAACTTACCTTTTAAATCCATCTGTAAACTCTTTCGTTCACGAAATCACTGACTATTCCTCCCGCTGAACTGAACACTTCTTGAAAGTGAGGTAAAAGGTACTCTCGGGTCAGATCATAATGCTGATTATGTCTCTCTGAAAAGACAACATTCATGTCTTGGAATCAAAACATAGGAACCAACATGGCGGCCGTGCAAGGCAGACGACATTTGGCAAAAATGACCAAAAGGAAGCGAAGATAGACAGTACTTCTAGCTGTAGATGCCCTTAAGACGTGATTTACGTTATATCAGCTATTGGATATTTGCAAAAATGGCGTATTTTAGTTACGCTGACAAATATCGTCCCACATTTACCTTGTTTACAGTCGTTGATGGTTTGAATGGTGGCGCAATGCCAGGAAACGTTACAAGCATGCGCACTAGGAAGTCGTCAGAATAACGGCATTAAATAATTCTTATATATGATTTTTGTTACAAATTATACATCAAACATTATTTCTGAGATTACTGTTATTGGTATATTTTGATTTAAGTACACTTAAACTGAGATTTTAAATGATGTCGTACAGATGACACGGCTGCCGCAAACTTGCTGAGCACTGTCGTAAATGGTGTCACTCGCGGGTGTTCCAGCGACAGGGACAAGATGGCGGCGGTAGGTGGACATTCTCTTTCGGCTCTCGTTTTCTGTGACATTTTCGTGCCATTTGTGACGATATACGCCTGTCCGAGAGGGCTGACGCATAGCTGTATACCTTCACTTTTTTTATTGAGAGTTGCACTTTGCTATTGGTCGCCCTGAACTGGCGGAGGGCGACGAGATGTGCGCGACTGTTGTTGGTCACTTTGCCGACCTGACGCGCGCTAGCACAGATGTGGGAAGCGCCGTGTAACACGGAGAGCCCAAACGACAGTCCGCACGCTATCGACGTTTCATTTATTGCCCCACGCTACTAACGTGTTTCTCTCTGTTTGTTGTTTACGTGAACTTTGTGTGTGTGTGTTGCGCGTCGGACGATTTTTTTTTTGCGCGGGAAATCTGGATGGCGTGTGTGTGTGTCGGGCAGTGGGTGCGCGCTGTGCGGTGTCATCTGCAGGCCCTGGACTGCAGCTGTCATGTTCTGGCGTGATGTGCCCCCCTCCAGTCATGTACGCCGGGGCCGGAGAGATGAAACAACACCGCTAGCCACTTGCCACCGAAACACCACCACTGTCATCCAGGGAAAACTTAATACCCTTTTAGTGGTTCATTAAGTTTCTGCCTTTTAAATACATGTAATATGCAATGTCCTGTGTTCCCCGGTGTACCCGGATAAAAAAGGTCTTGGGTCACAGTTCTTGAATTCCGTAATGAAAACCAGCATCATCTTTGAGCAAATGGGGTCACGCCGGCCACTGTATAATATAAATCAGAGAATACACAACAGTAATCCCCGATACATATGCATTGTTTGACACGGTATGACCCTGTGTATTTTTTTCCTTGGTGGCTGGGGGTCCTGATAAACGAGTCTCAAGTCGCAGGTCCAGGAGCACACGGCTGTGATAAATGGAGCAGTCTATTTACACTGCCGTCCCTGGCCTGGCGGCTTATAGAGGCCAGGTGGAGAGGGTTCACTGGCGGTATGACACTTCAAAGGCATACAGGGCACTTGCCTATGAAATCGGATAGTGGCACCAAAACTAATGCAGGAAGTGTCCCCGCCTGGCAGTCTGGAGATGGAGCAAGGGCATTGGAGAGACACTGGGCAAATATGTTCCAAATAAACACCGCACACAAGTGCCTTGTATCATTTCCATCAACAGTTTGGTCATTGTTTTGCCATACAAGTGGCGACCGCTGTGTGGTGGCTTACTTCTCGGCGTGACCCTAATGGAACATGAATGTGACTCACATGTGCGAAAAATGTAAGACATTCCCCCGTCTGGGCCCTGGTTTTTCCCAGTGTCCCCCTCAAGACAGGAATTCGGTCGTCCAAACACTTCTCAAGACGTCGAGATAGAAGAGAGTTCCAAGACATGACATTCTCCACAGACGTGCTGAGGTAATTTCATTCGCGCCATCCCCACAGGGCATGAAGGTAGACAGCCTGGATCTTAATGGGGTCCCAAAAGAGACAACAGACCCACATTCTTCATGCTGGGTACATCATCATCTTGGGTATTTGTTTTGGTGTCTGGGACAGCTTCATATAGAGGAGTCTCCTTCTGTGGCCAATCCATCCCAGATGTCTCGCAGACCTTGGAAGGGGACCATGTCCTTGTATTCAGGCGGCAAGAAATCTCTCTCCAGAATATTTCTGGAGAACCCTTGTCACTTAGAACGATGCTCAGTGGGTCATTAAAAACTAGGACACCTGTACAGTACCCTTGCACTTTGAGAACCCTGATAAGATGCAAGAAGTTCAAGTTGATACGTCTTGCACCTGGCAGTGTTTGTAACTTTTAAGCGTGTTTTGTCAAGACTCGATGACGACGTTCTACAACAAGGACCACATGGCCAAGGTGTAAACTTCCTCCCAGGTCCAATTGAACCTTATCACCAATCACAATAGCTCTAGCCATACCACATTGCAATAGATGTACAGTATATATGGCTACAGCTACCACAATGCCCTCTCGCTGACTTTGTCCCATATCTTGACAAGAAATCATGGCCATTTCAAAGTGACGTGTTTCTTAATCCATTTAACTGGACATCATAAAGGTTGATTCGACTCAATCTGCGAGGGTCCTGATATGTTTCTCCTGGGAGCTCCAGTCTTAAATAACTTAGAGAGATAGCAAGGTGACTTTCCAATGTCTATTGATTTTGAATCAAGAAGTGGTCCTACATTTTGTGAAAAGAGGCACATTGGATGGATGCACATCAACCAGTAGATCCTACATGACCGGTGGAGTGTCCTTATTTCTTTCCATCAAGGAATGCCTTATGCGCGGGTATTGATCGTTCGGACATTTACCAGGGGAATGGTCAGTAGAAAGCTGCATAATGAAAACAGTCACGTTTCCCCTGAAAGCTTTCTGGGAGAGGCGGCGGTGTAATGGGGGTAGGTGGGTAGGCACGCCACGCCAGACTTTTTCACATGTCACCTGGCCAGTCACACGGATATATGATAAAGGATCGGGTTTGTTTGAGCTAGTTTGTATCTTGTTATGGATAAAGCCTTGTGTGTTTCAGTAGTGGCTTATCCTCTTTTTCCAAAAATATATGTCATTTCGTTCCCGGTGACCTCTATTCCGAGCGGGCCTTGAGACTTGGACCCCTCGTAATTTCCATCTGCCGCGGCCAGCTGAAGTAGTATTAGGGTCAATCAAAAATCTTTTTTACCATCTTTGGAGAAAAGTGGCTGAAATGAAGTTGCCTAAACGAGCTTTGACAGCACGTCCACTTTGGGGCTAAATTTTGTTTCATGTTTGTCCTTGATATCCATTTTGCGTCGTCTGGCTAGGCAAGGGAACATGAAGAATATTTTGCAGTAATCCTCTGGAAATGGTCTGTTCCAATACATGTGCAGATCCCAGCAACCTGCCAATACTTGGAAATCTAAACCTTGTAAAAGTGATTTCTCTGTGTGCTGCAAGTTTCTTTTTTATTTATTTCTTTTTTTCGGGCTAAGAGGACTTGAATGCCAAAGAGCAATCTGTTCAAGTCTTGTTCAAACCCCTCGGACTGAGTGACCACTGGTCGAGGAGGGTTCTTACCCTTCATATTGGATACTGACCAGTGGGAGATGATTGGACGGTCAGAGCTTCTGAAGTGCGGGGAAAAGTGAGTGCATCCGAAAGTGCAGATAGAAATTTTCTAAGTGTCCATCGTGACCGGTGCCTTGCTGAATACTGATCCCCATTGGACAACAAAGTTTTTCTCCTGATTGCCATTGCCAAAGATGGAAAGGAAAAAAAATTCAGAGTGCAGATGACTTTTTTTATCATCTAGGTAATGAATCAGCTCTGAATAACTTAGATAATAATTAATATGTTAAGTCATCTGCTTCACATTTTATACCAATGAGATAATATTTATTAATATAATATTCATTTTTCTCATTATGATGTAGGATGAGAAGCATTTGATGCTCATGCCTGGCTTCTGCAAATAATCAGCATGGATGAAGTCCTTTGTAGAAGTTGCCTTTTGTAATCATGTCTTGTCCCTTTTCATTTCCATTTGTCAACATCACTAAACATTCTTCCTCACCCCTGACATGCACATGTAGGCTGGCAAGCATCTCTGGTAGGTATGGTAAGGATATAAGGCAACAGCTAGGACAGTTCCTGCTACACAGCAGGATTTCTGCCCTCTTGGGTTAATCCTACAAGCTTCGGTTGCTAAACTTCGGATGGCTTCTCTCTCCCAGCAAGTGTAAATGATTAGAAGAGGAGTGGTTCGGATTGGTACACACCGCTGATCTTATGATCACTCCGTATCTAGCCTCTAATCTTTTTCTAACAACCTCCTTCTAGCAGAATGTAATGCCTACTTTTTAATACACTGTTCTTTTCAAAGAACAGCTGCCAACAAACTGTAGTAGTCTGAGTTATTGAATTGTAATCTCTCAGTTTTGGATAGTCTAGTTGGCAGTCCTTTCCTTAGCCTGGATGCCAGACTGTTTCCAGGGCCTATACAGGCAATCTCCTTTGCTCCAAGGCCAACATGCCCCCTAGGAAATTTTACCACACCCCCCTGAGTTAGGGAAACAATTTGGCCATATGACAAATTAGGAAGAGCTCAGCAGTGTTTTTCAGGGTCTAACTCAGGTTCATGGTTTCCTAACTTTCCTTATCAATTAATTTAAGTGTTTTTTCGTCAACATTAAAAAGATCATCTGAATTCTGATGCTATATTTAGTATAGACATTTTTCTGCACCTCCAGTTTTCATTTTTTTTAGTTTTGTTGTACATGTATGTACTTGCCAATACAGTAAACAATGAGAAGCTTTTTTCTTTTTTTCCTCAATTACATTTTGTACACTCTAAGCTGTTGTTTTCAGAGAAATGAATTATAATGTGAATTGAAGGATGCTCACTAGAGTACTTGAATTGAGTGAACAAGTGAATTGTGTTTATCATATGGCCATCAGATATTAGTCTGACTGTCAATATCTATAACACCAGCTAGGGTTTGAAACACCATGCCCAGCCTGCCAGTGCCACCTTTTGCATGCCCGTGGCTGTTGCACAGTTGATTCTATGCTTTAGTAGCACATTTTGATATGGTGACATTGCCGGAGCCCGCCGAGTCACTTACCATTTAATCATACTCCTGTAGGGTCAACAGAGAGTTTGGAAGTGTTAAGCAGAGGATTTGTGGAGCAGCCCGAATGGCTTGGATATTATTACCATCACCGCCGCCCAGGCACTGTCATGCATTACAAGGAAGCTATCACTCATACGCCAGCCATGCAAAGTGCTGTATTAGACCTTTCGGATGATACAAGATGCCATTAATGCCCCTTGACATTATGACAGTTATTGGTGCAGAAATTTAAACAATCTACAATCAAGAGCAGCCCTCGGTGACCTAAAATAGTTTATCTCAGACAAGTTGCCATACTTGCCCCATCCATTCGGAACCTGTTTGCTTGGGTGCAGTGCTGAGTGTAGGGTCGGACGTAGGGTGGCCATTAGCATGACATTTATGTGCGGGATGA